TTTCTGCCCATGTTGTCCATATACACATCATGTCCGAATTGTGGCGGGAGGGGCTGCGGAGCCTTAATAATACCATTCTGATAATATGATCCGAAGCTTGCTGTCGGTGATTGATGATATACGACGATTTGTGACGGCGGCAAGGTTGATGATTTCAGATAGGGTGAGTCGTTTCCTGCCAAGAGAGTGCTGGTGGAGGCCGGTGATGAAAAGAATCGACGCTGCAGCAATCGCTTAGAACTTTGGCTCGATGTCTGTGTAACAGCGACGGCTGAAGGTGAATCACCTCATGATCAATACTTGCCACTTCCACAGTTGTTGCTGACTGTTTGCCTTCTTTGAGGGGCCAGAAGAATTTGATATAACCATTGACTATACCATTGGACGGCCTAGAAAATGTCTTAAGATGGAATTTGTGACCAAACGAGTCGATACAGTCATGAAATGGGCTGGTAATGGGTTGCGACTGCTGAGAAGACGGTAATTGTATCGAGGGAGGGGGCGCCGGCGCAGGTTGCCATAACTGTTGCCCTTCGACAGCAAACGTAACATACTGCGGCTGCAACTGAAACGTGTCTGCGGAATTTAGAGCGAAATCTGCACACAAGAGTAATCAGCTTCAAAGTTTTAGGTAGGGCCTCTCCGTGGCCAGGGAAAAAGGCCTGTGGCTGCGGAAGGCAGACAGGTCGACTTTCTCGTGCGCGCCTTTTAGGCAGTCGTCAATCGACGAAGCCAGATCAAACCAGCTTGTGGGAAAAGGGGGCGGGTGAGAACGTCTGGCTGATCAAGTGAAGCTGCTTATTGACAGACGCACGGGAAGGCCGATTGAGGTAATAAAAAGGGGCAGGAATTTGCACAGGTAGCAGGTTTGACAGACATACTTGTGTCCCACGGAGCTGGAGGCATGTAATTGCTCACGATCTCCCCACCGATAAAGCCAGGGCTCTGGCCTGGTGTAACCAAGCCGTGGTTGAATAAGGCCGACTCGACGGGGCTGCTCTGGACGTTGGTGCTCATGGCAGTGGCGCCCGGATCGCCGTGCTCAACAACGGATGAAGCCGGCCGAATGGAGTGGCTGCGCAGGGTCATGGCATGCTGCTGCGAATTAGAAGAGTCGTCGACGTTTTGCATGTTCAACTGATATGTCTGCCGGCTAATCTTGGGGAAGGAGGCTTCGACCTGAGGCGTGGACAGGCCGGGAGCATTGTCGTAGACGGGCCTAAACATGGCAGGCTGGGTAGGAGCGCAAGAAGCATCACGTATGTCGGAGGAGGAGGATGTCGGATAGGCAAGGCCACCAGATTGAAATAAGATGTGGGGTTTATTTGGAATCAGATGAGATATGAGCGCGGGAAAATGATAGCTACTGGCAGACCCTGCTGATTGTGGCAGAGAATGTGCAGGGTCTATTGTTTCGAGTGGTTTTTCAAGAGGCCGATCAAAGCTAGATATGAGCAGCTGCACACATCTCTTGCACGCGGGGCAGCCACAACGGCCTGCCTCACACCACTGCAGCAGGGACGTAGCCCGCTAGAACGGTAAAAGGCCCGTGCAGCTCCTCTGCCGAGAGTGAATGTGCAGCCATTGAAACTAGCAGTGCGCCACAGTCCGCGCATGGGTACTCGTATGCAGATTCATGCCGGGCTGCATCTTGCTAGTCCACCCAGCTCGAGTTCCGAAGCTGCCATGGGACAGAACCATGTTGCGTTCGTACACACCGTCCGAAGTGTTCATAAAGAAGATAATATAGCACCTGGAGCTATCGTATCGTTGGGATTTGCTGCATATATCTCCGAGGCAACTTCGCTAAATTGGGGCTCCGCCAATGGAGAGCGACGATTCAGTTCTCAAGGTCTCCCTCGAGATGCAGGCTGAGAGCTTGATATCTCTTGAGATGATGTTCGCAAAGCCAGTCTCGGTAAAATCTGACACAATTTCGTAGCGCTCACGCGCCGGGAGAGACGGGAGATCTGTCCCGCTGAGCTCATTTGGTTGGCGAACCTTGGCTTGATTGTGTACACCTTGCCTGATTTGCTCTTGGAGCTTGATTCCCTCCGCCTTGGCGGCCCTCAATTGTTTCTCAGCATACACAACCGTAAGCGCCAGTTCAAGAAGGAGAATGAAACATTGCTCGTGGAAATAAAATGGAGGCGTCACCGTCACATTCAGAACCGAAAATATGCCTAGCGCAGCAGTCAACGTCCCAGCGAGCGCATTCATCAGACCAAGCATAAGACAGCAACGTCGACTCCAAGGCTGCTTGCATGTTCGGATCGATTGCATGAAAAAAGCAGCCGCACAAGTCAAGTAAATCCAGCCCGAAAAGGCCCATAGCGCAGCATACCGCTTTTGCCAGACACTGACCCCGACCCAGACTACTGGCAAAATTAATATGCAGGCATAGTACGCGATGAGCGTCTGTGGACGTAGAGCTTGATTGAAGACATGCAGCTGTGATTGTCAGCCTAGATAGCTATACGGTCGTAAAGAGCGGCATACCTTGGAGACAATGAGACACAAGACCATTATTGCTTTCCAGATGACGCTGGGAACGCGCGCCGGCGAGTCGCGGCTGCATGCGATACCAAACCACGATGAGCATAGTATGCTACCAATGACGAAAATGGACAAGAGGACGAGAGAGATGTGGCAGTACCACTTCTCCCCGCTAGGCTTGGTCTTGAGGTGACGCCAGCGCTGATGAATGATAGCGATATACAAGAGGATGCCAAGCACACAGATAACACCATTTTCAATGGCGTCTACTTCTGCGTCAAACTGCTCCATGTTGAGTGGCGGTAAGGTCTGCACGAAAGGCCATTTCTGCCTCCGGATCGCTCTCGTACTATATAGGAATGTCCCTGGCCCCGGGCCGTTCAGTCAAATGTGTGCTGGCCTACGGAGGAAGAATCGAAAAGTATTATCTCTCAGGGATTTGACCTCTATTTACTCGACAAGGGGGCCTGGCCTCTAAATTCATGACTTCCACCCGTCATAGCAGAATCCCTCTGACAAGGTGTGAGTACGTTGTCTTACCTTTCACCAGCATCGTAACTAGAATTTGATCGTAGCTGGTAGGGATGAATCCCTGGTGTATGTATGATCATTTCTTATTTAGGTTGATGGCGTTTATTCCCTGTAGGAGACGACTTCTGATTCCTTCCTCCGTAAGTCAAACAGCTCTTACGCAGCATCTCTGTCGTCTGTACGCTCCTGTGTCAATACTTTAGAAGGCCCGACTGCGGCCGCTGATGGGTAGCTATCTCTGCGGCCTGGAGTTTCTCGAGATGCTGCTGGGGGCTGTCAACGCCGCGGCTGACTTTGTCCAACGCCATCTCCTTGACCCCTCTTTGCCAGAATTAACAGACCATTTCTCCACAACTCTACTGACCCATACGAGCCTCAAAGGAAAAGAAACGGATCATGAGCTAGCGAGCTCGCAAAGACGCTGAGGAATTGTAGAGGAGAAAATGTTACGGTCAATTAAGCCCTTTATTAAATGTCCCAAAAGTATCATCAATCAATCTCATCATTCCAATCAATCCCATTATGTCCTACCGGTAGCACACATGTTGATCTCAGCATCCCCAAAGCCCTCATAGCAGACTAGCATTAAGCACAATTGAGGCAGACCCAGAATTGCTCCGTTGGTGACCGGAAGAGATGGAGAGGCTCGCTGGGAACTACGGAGGGGTGGTGTCGCGAATCTATGTAGGTAGGCTCGCAGTCCCCGCGCCCCACAAGTGACAAAAAAAGAGTATAAACAGCGAGAGTAAATATGTAATGTAAACTTTTATTCGCTATATTTGCCCTTCTACTCGTTATATATACCCCACCGATCCGGGGACATGTCGGCCGCGATAGTGGAGAGCCAAGAGCCCCTCAGGTCCGTGCTTTTGCGCTGGCCTAGTATGCTACGGGTACTCGGCTGTAGCTATACGTTTTGGGGCTAGCGCGACGCACCTGATGATCCCACGGCGTGTCGATTGGTGCAGATCCCTGTGAGTGGCTTGGACTCTACTCATATGAAAGACTGCCGAGTACATAGTCCGTGGAGTAAACAAATTGGGGGTGGTGGCAGGGGTCTGATTTTTCAGATTTATCCGAAAAATCAGACCCCTGTCACAGCTAAGGACGACTCTGTCGTAATCTTGTGCTCCCTGCCAACCAGGAACTAAACCCAGTCATTATCGCAGCTGCAAAACTTGGAATCAGCATTGAATATGGCCTGTGCCCAATTCGTTGACTGGAATTCCCCAGAAAGCGTGCCGGTTTTTATTCAAACAATTTGGCCACGCCTGACAGATGAGAACAAGCGGAGAGTACATCATCAGCTTCGCCCTTTTCTTCCTAGTACTGCTGCAGTGCCAACACAGGAGAACATTGGGTCAACCAGACAGACAGCCACCTCCTTGCCTAGAATACAGCCCATGAGCGCATCGCCGACACCCCCTCACCAACAAGGTTCATCTCAAGAGCCGGCGGAAGCGATCATCACTCCAAAGTTGCCCCTCGAAAAGCCGATCCTCGCCTCAAAGCTTTACAATTCGTCGAGAAGAACATTCCGGCGACTACCCCGCGCTTCAGGGCTGTCCGAACCGTCGGTGACCACCAGTCAGCGAACATGCTCACAACGATCCAGCCGGATTGTTGCGAGACCACCTGGTGGCCGGTTGCCCTCAGAAGACCTGACAAAAAACCTGCCTAACCCCCCTGAAGTCACGCTCGAGGAGCTATGTCAATATTCGAGAAAGCCCCTTCTGTCGCCGTTCATTGTCCAAGATATCTCAGGACTCGCGCGGCAGCTTCCTGAACCTTATTCTCAGCCGCTATTTTCTGCTGCGAGTGATGCCACAAAGAAACAGGTGCTCGAACACGCTCAGGCTTTTTTCAGCAAACGTGGTCGCAGCTTGCAAGAGTGCAAGAATATTGTCGAAAAGCAACAGGATGACAAGTCATCAGTGGCCGCAACTATCAAAGCGTTGCGCATCCACAGCATGGTCTTTCCATGCTTGCGGGATCATTTAGTCGAGGGCACCAAGCACATGCCGTTGCGCACGAGGCTGTTGCCACTCAGAGCAAAGCTTGTGATGGCCAAGGCACGGCACCGGTTCTGTCCTGGCATGACGCGAAGCGATGTCATTAAGGAGGTCACAGAGGAGTTGGATTATGGAGGGAAATACATCTCCTTAAAAGAGGCCTTCTCGATGGGCACAATTACCAGGCTCAATCATAAATGCTCATCTAGGTTAGTCTATCGATCTCTGATGGTGAATAAAACTGAGCGAATAGGTACGAGGGTCGCAAGCCAACTAAAGAGCTTGAGAGTGACTTGGAAGGCGAAGGCGCTAAACCAAGCAAGCAGCTAGAGGATCTTGCTGGCAACGGCGAACTCAATGCGGAGGTTTGGCTCGAGATCTACTCCGGGGGCTATTTCTTGTGGTCACTCTATCATCATCATCTTGCTTTGTTCCCGGATGGGTGCGGTGGGCAGAATTGTTCTTGGAGTGTAGTGAGGCTGCACAACGACCAGCAGCCTCCAAGTCCTAACCCCGAAACGTTCGGAAACGAGAGCACCGCGTCGCCTATGACTTCACTGGATACCACTGCACCGGGAAAACATAACATGGCGCTACCCACTACCGCCCTAGCAAAGGAGGCCTCGTTGTGGCAATTCTTTTCTCGATCGGGGAAAAGGCCGAGCTCCAGCGACGATTGGCCCGCTTCTACGAAAAAGCAACAGAACGCAGCGAATTCCAGACCAATGGACGCAAATTCCGAGGCACAGCTTGATACAGGCACAACTGGCGACGCAACACACGACTCGTGCT